CTACACATACTTATAATTACGCCTATATATAGTAATTACCTCTAAATCCATGTAGAGCGATCATTCCTAAAGATACAAGAAAGTTTCTTAGGCGTTAGAATGGTATTAGTGGCTTTTTAGTAGTAAAGTTAAGTTTTAGCGGAAAACTTTAAGGCAGGAATATAAGCAAGCACCATCTTAAACGAAAACGGAATTACAGGCGCACTAGTTAGTGAGGTGCTCTTGATCGCAGTAAAGAATAAGATGCTTCACTATAAGAGATAAATATTATAGAAGAAAAAAAAAGGGAAAAGGACTAAAGGTTTTTTATATTTTATTAGTAACGATAGGAAGGTGCCGTAAATAGGGTATACGCCGAAAAATACGTGGCGGGAGAGCCAACACATCATCTCGCAAAGTGTCGTTTAGCAATACGCCGTTTCCAAAATAGTGCGAAGAACAGCGAGCATTTAACCTAACCAATCACATAGCAGTCTTTCTCATTTAGCTGGATAAATGGATCAGATGTGATTAGTCTGCCATATGCAGCCGGACTAGTAGTCAGACCAATCATGCTTCTAGGTCCCAAGTTTTTCACAGTACATTATCTACCTAAGCACGCTATACTTTATTTATACGCGCTGTAAGTGATTGAGGTTAGGCTGGTTGCAGACACAACATACGACATTTACGCTATCAACTGATCTAAGAGGAAAAAAAAAATAAAGAACGCGTGGGCGGGGCTTTCAGCGCATGGTGGAGCCAGACACACGATCACGTGAGTTCGTAACAGTGGGCAGATTTTAAGTCAGCCTACAGCATAAGACCTCTCATCACTTCATTTCTCAAGGCACAAGACCTTTCATCACATCGCTCCTTAAGGCATAGTGCTAGAGTTAAGAGATATAGCACTAGAGAGATGCGAGGCATAGTGCTAGGGGGATATCTAGATAAGTCCTCAGTTCAGATCTAGTGAGTGTGGTTTTGGCAAACCTTGTATTAGTTGGCTAGATATAGGGGCTAGTTAAACAGATACTATAGATAGCACTCTTAAGGCATTAGGCGTAGCACTCCATAGATACTATAGATCGTACTACTAAGGCAGTAGGCGTAGTACTCCATAGATAACGGGCTCAAATTGCAGAGGGACCACATACTGGGAGATTTGACAGACAGCGTCACCCAAGTCCAAGATCTTTCACGATCTAGATCGTTACAAGGGTTTTTTCCCATAAATTACCCCAACTCGAGGCACTAAGCATAGAGTCCCAGAATTAACACTATTTTTACTAGAAGCCGTGCCCTTTACGAGAGAATTTCTCTAAGAACAAGCCCCAGCCGCCCCAGCCGCAATAGGGCCTCAGTTTCTGGGAAGCACTGCTTAAAGATACAAAGATACCGTAAATCAAGAAATACCATCACTTAACAATTCAATACAAAGCCGGCATCACCGCCACCACCACCAGCTACAACAGCAGCAACCACAACAACTACCAGAGTCAACAAGCAACCCTCTAAACACAGGTCGACTAGTAGGTCCCCCCCATCTAATAAGACATATAATATCGAGTATAGTATCCATTACTCTCCTAGGTTAAACAAGAGCTGGCATCCACAGAAAGATTTTTTTATAATAGGAATTAGAGAGCTAATAAGCAGTATACCATCACCGCATAGCTATTATGGTTTTAAGTTCACTTTACGTACATATGCAAAAACTTTTGTACACTATACTAGGTTAGGGGATAAGAAGACATTCAATATTTTATAGAGAAGTTTTCTTCACTCTATTAAACAATTAATACAACTCTCGACCACTATTTTTTATAGTTATAGAGCCACAATTAGAGACCCAAGGCTCTTAACCGATGCTCTTCTATTCTCAAGCAAATAACCAAGCAACTCAGGCGAACGAACAAACATCTCAAATAAAACCAGCTCAGCAACAAATAACCCGTTGACCAATAGCAACTCCACTCAAAGTGCCACGAATATTCCAGTTTCATTGCAACATGTTTACTCCCGCTTTATCCATATGCTTTTATAGTCGAGCGTCGGCCTTTTCGATGAACGTAGTATAATATCGGTGGGCAGTAGACTCAAGTATAAAAGGCTGCGTTTATTTAATATAGTACCTTATGCTTTAAGAGCTTAGAGTTATCAAAGGGCAGAAGCAGGAAGTGGACATATTCTTTTCTTATCGCAGAAGGGTGGCCTCATGTAGATGCTATTTCGTTTAGCCCAATAGGATATCGATGGGGTGTAATATAAGCACCCCGATGAACTACTCAGTCCCTCAAAGGTCTAGTGCAGGTACTAGTATACAGATGGGCCCAGCAACCGACTCCTTCAAAGACAAATACCTTATCTTTCTTAGAGATAGAGCCCTCCGGCCCCGAGAAGATTACAGACGCTCTCCACCTAGTAGCAGTATTAGGTAAAGCTGGTCGACGTGCTTCTCCAGCTCCCCACTAATTGAGGAGTTAATTTAATCATAAGTATAGTATATACAGTCCATCTAGTAAGCGTTTGTTTATGTTGATAACTCAAAATTATTCCTCTTTTATAGCTGCTAGCCAGGCTTCCTACTTCTAAATCAAACATAACCACGTAGATCGCTACTAAGAACCGGAAAAGTGCTGCTTATAACCAAAGAGGTAATTATATCTGCTTCCGCTCTAAGAGAACTTCATAATCAGCACACAGCCTAAGCGGCAGCCGATAGCGACCATTGATCCCACAACAGCCAATGCAGGCGTGCGATACTCCGCAGGTAGCTAAAGCATCCTATTTTCATCTTTCATAATCCATACACCGTTGGCGCTTATACCGTAACCGGATTGGCGAACACTCCGTAAGGTTGCGTCAGTCGACTGATTCTCGATAGCAGGCGGTAGAGGCGGGAGATCCAGGTTCAGAAGTCTAATATCGGTAGAAAGGCGAGAGCTAGTCATCGGATCGAATGAAAGGTGGGTAAACATCCAGCTAACCTCGAGCGACTGCACACACGCGCCTATTGCCGCATCCTATACCTTAACCATCTGATCGCGCGAGCCTAAAGCGAGCCGCTGGCTACCCGCCGAGATAGCGACTGAGAATACTGGACCGCCATGGCCCTCAAGCGTCTATACACACACGCCCATTGCCGCATCCCACACCTTAACTATCTTATCGTCCGAGCCCGAGGCAAGACGCTGGCCATCCGCTGAGAAGGCCACTAACTACACTGAATCACTATAGCCCTTAAGCGTCTATACACATATGCCTGTTGCTGCATCCCACACCTTAACCGTCTTATTATTAGAGCCTAAGGCGAACTACTAGCTATCCGCTAAGAAATCCACCGACCTTACTGAATCACTATAACCCTTAAGCGTCTGCACATATACGCCCATTGCTATATCCTATACCTTAACTATCTTATTGAGTGAGCCTAAGGTAAGACGCTAGCTATCCGCCGAGAAGGCCACTGAGTTCACTGAATTATTATAGCCCTTAAGCGTCTATATGTATACGCCTATTACTGCATCCCACACCTTAACTATCTTATTATCCGAGCCTGAGGTAAGCCGCTGGCTATCCGCTAAGAAGGCCACTGACCTTACTGAATCACCATAGCCCTTAGGCGTCTGCACATATACGCCTATTGCTGTATTCTATACCTTAACTATCTTATTGAGCGAGCCTAAGGCAAGCCGCTAACTATCTATCAAGAAGGCTACTAATATCACCTAATCGCTATAACCCTTAAGCGTCTGCACGCATATACCTATTGCCGCATCCTATACCTTAACTATCTTATTAAGTGAGCCTGAGGCGAGCCGCTGGCCATCCACTGAGAAGGCTACTAAGTTCACTAAATAGCTATGGCCCTCGAGCGTCTACACGCATGCGCCCATTACCGCATCCTATACCTTAACTATCTTATCATCCGAGCCCAAGGTAAGCCGCTGGCTATCCGCTGAGAAGGCTACTGACCTTACTGAATCGCCATGGCCCTTAAGCGTCTACACATATATGCCTATTACCGCATCCCACACCTTAACTATCTTATTATTAGAGCCCGAGGCGAACTACTGGCCATCCGCTGAGAAAGCCACTGACCTCACCTAATCGCTATAACCCTTAAGCGTCTATACGTATACGCCTATTACCGCATCCTATACCTTAACCGTTTTATTATCTGAGCCTGAGGCGAACTACTGGCTATCCGCTGAGAAGGCCACCGACCTCACTAAATCGCTATAGCCCTTAAGTGTCTGCACACACACGCCTATTGCCATATCCCACACCTTAACTATCTTATCATCTGAGCCTGAGGTAAGCCGCTGGCTATCCGCTGAGTAAGCCACCGACCTCACCGGACCGCTATAGCCCTCGAGCGTCTACACATATGCGCCCGTTGCCGCATCCCACACCTTAACCATCTTATCGTCTAAGCCCGACGTAAGACGCTGGCTATCTACCGAGAAGGCCACTGACCACACCGGATCGCCATAGCCCTCAAGTGTCTGCACGCATGCGTTCCAGTCTAATTCCACGCTCAGCTTTAGCGTGATCCAGTTCAGCTCTTCTTTTTCGAAGAGCTCTCTAATTAGGCTATGGGTGGGACTAAACACGAGTGCTGATGCATAGACCTGTAATGGAGCAATCTCGATGGCCCGCTTATGAGAAAGAATAAAGCGGCGCGCGTCTCAAAGTAGCCCCAACAGCTGCCGTGCTTCTATATTTTCCTACGGGCATATTAGGCTGTCTCAGAATCTATACTTCAATTCCTAGCAACTCACTACCAAAGCTTCAAGCTTCTGCACTACCATAACTCCCTCTGGTATACTACACAAGAGACTGAGAGACTCTAGCCAATACAGATACTTCTTCTTGAAGAAGCCATAGATAACACTGCCTTCTCGTAGGTCGTGTTCGCCCATCTTCGCCTTAGGTTCCAAGTCTTCTAGATAGTTAACCTAGTAGATATAAGAATATCAGATCAAAGCCAATAGGTTAGGGTCAGGCGGCGAGACCTAATCGATGGGAAATCCTAGGTTGCTTAGGTTGTAAATATCACGTTGAAGGGTTTCTAACAGAGCCCCTAGCGACCTCGAGAAGAGGGCATGGTGCTGGTGCGTAATGCCAGAAGGAAAGAGGAATAGGCTTAAGAACAAAAAGTCCTTGGCAGACTAATAAATAATATAGACAACGTTGTCTCTAATTGTCAGGAAGGAGCCACACATGCTTATGATCTTCGAAATATAGTCAGTCGATCCCTGAATACTAGACGGTAAACCTGAGAGCTGGCCTAATTCCTCCAGGCGAAGTGGGCGATAGGCCACGATAACAGTCGATAGAATGTGTCGACACATTTCGGGGTTCCAATGCCCCAGGTTTTAGATATACCGTATCATTCGATTATATAGAGCTTCCAAGCCAGAAGGTATTTTTTCAATAACGTCAAGTACATCCTAAATATCAGTGCTTTAGAGCTCTTAGTAGACTAGGGCCACCCAGAGAAAAGTGCTATTAGCACTCAAGACTAAGTGCTATTCAACGGCATCCCGCATTTGGTAATTATATTTCTTTTGCTCTACCAAGGCCTCAACCTTATGCCGGATGTATATGCGGACAGCAGTAGAGGTCAAGTCCTTGTTCAATTCGAGGTGGAACCTGACTTTTTGCTTTACATTTTCAAGTTTCTCCTCAATGTCCTGCCAGTTGCGACTAGATATGATCCACTTGACACAGGATGAAGAAGTCATCGACGATTAGATAATAAAATCAAGAAGCTAGGGCCGATCAGTAATGCACTCGTCAAGGGCGTCAACGACCAAGACTGCGTCTTTCAAAGTCGGGTCCTTTAGAATATCCATGAGTATCTCGACCAGAGACACCTAGACATTAATACCCTAGAAGAGTTTCTCGCCCGTAATATTATGCTTAGACCGGACGTACGAGATAAGCGATAGTTACTAGATGATGAGGAGGTAGATGAGGCCACATAGCACAGACGCCGCATTACTTAGTTAAGCTTTAGTGGCCTAGCAGAAGAAATAGGATAGGAGACTATTAGTTCCCTTCTCTAGCTCATCGATGATGCCGCACAGGAGCATAGTCTTGCCTTTACCCGGGTCACCCTTGATCCAGAGCAACCAGCTCTGCAGATCATCGCGAAATCGCTAGAAGTCGGCGTGGTTAAGAATCCAGCGATACAAGTCCCTAAGAAGGCCGCCCTTCGTGTCTTGGATTCACTTCTTATCCTCGCGGGGGTCAGTTACATATAGATCCCTTATACATTTCTCGTACTTTTCATCTTAGTATCTCTTCTATTACTATTTTGTTTAATCCTTAATTACTAAATCAATATCTTAGAGATTCATCTCTAGAGCGCTTACAGCGTTAGTGAGTCTCCGCAGATAGAGCTTGCTCTATTCAGTATTATATTAATCCGAGTCTGTTCGGACAGCAGCCTCAGCTTTCTAAATCTCATCAAGCTAGCCAGCCCAATCATCTAGTCGAAAAACGTCCCTCAAGATCACAGCAGCCCAGTTACTATGGTAAAGGCAAACGCTCTTCACCTAATAAGAGAGAAGTTTCTCGTATAGCTGCACGACATACCTCTCCAGTTAGACCCACAGTCCCACAGATAATTACTCTACCTTATTCTCATCAAGAAGTAGGGACACTAGGTTCTAGTACTACTCTATTTTGGATAGGACGTAGGCAATGCCTTTGCAATTATCACGTACCTCGGTGACAGGGTTCAAAAGTATCTATCAACTGTTAGCGGGAAATCATCCACCATTCTCTTCAGTTAGGAAAGCTGATCACACACACCTCTAGTCTAAGGCAGACGCTAACCCAGGCGATAGCAGCTTCCAGTGCGGCCTATATCGCCTTGTCTACTATCCCCCTCACCGCTTGCACTACTTACAAGCCTTCGTCGATTCCTCGCTTAATAGACGCTGCTTTCTACGTCCGGTCTAGTCCATCCCGGACCAACTACTGCATTTGGCGGTATCTTGTCTCACGAGCCCCCTCTATCTCGTTTTCCGTTGATTCACAAGTAATAGAGCTCAGGTCCTTTCGGTGAAGTCCAACTAATAGGATCTTCTTGTACGCTTCGATGAGTTTGGGCTCGCTCGCTTTAAGGTCATCGTAGGCCTGGTTCCAAAGTCGTTCTTATAGACTCAGCAGCGGCAAGGTTTCAGTATCTATCGAGGTGGGTGGGGAAGGCGTTGACTGGGATGTTACTTGAGTTACTGGTCCGGATGCAGGCTGAGACGTTATCAGCGAAGGTGATGGTGAAGGAGCCGAATGAGACAACAGCTTTTTGGCCTTAGATTCGACTTTCTTAAACCAGCGAGGCGCCATCGCCATTTGAAGAAGGCACCTTGGCCTTGTTGCGCGATATAACGGTATCAGCGAGATAGCTTCTGTTCCGGATCGATGACTCAGGACGATAAACGGATTATCATCACTGACAACTTAGGCAGCAACATCTTTACGGGATTTCTCGTGCGGGGAAGGCGTCAGCAGCTGAAAAGGACCCCTATAGCCAGACGCAGCTTATATTCAAAGTGGAAAGTGCAAGGCAAAGCAAGCGAGCAAGCGAAGAGGTAACAACATACAGGCACGTGATTTTCTGCGTGCACAGCCATTTACTAAATCACGCCATATAGGGACCTTTCCTCTATCTCCATCAAACGAGGCATAGCCCATGGCAGATGCATAGAGTAGCCCTACTAAAGTACAAGCAGACTACCACTAATAGCTATAAGGACGTGCCATCTGTTTCCCATTAATATCAAGCTAGCAGCAAAACGAGCGTCTAACCTGACCAATCACAAAGAATTTCTATTTAATCACTTAGACATATAGGTCAGATGTGATTAGTCTACTAGAGGTAGCCGGATTAGTAGCCGGACCGATTATACTTATAGGTCCAAAGTTTTCCACGGTACCTAAGTTAAACGCCCTAGTTTCCGACTTTAATCTTTGCGAGATAATATGTCAGGCGCATAGTAATAAGCTCTAATAGCTCCATATATAGAACCTAAAATAACTATTGAAGTAGCCTTTGCCAAAGAAGAGCGGCTGCTTAAATGACTAATATACTAAGTTTGCGTAATATTAGTATACTGGTAGAATGTAGATCCAAGGCCCTTTATAGCCCGCCCTTTAATAACCCTATATCTTAGCTAATATTCACGATCCACCTTTACCTATTTCCTATTCCTTTAAAGCTCTAGATCACTCCACTATAGAATACCCTATTTATAATTGTAAGTTTAGGACGGAAGGGAGCCTTAAGTAACACTATTAAGATAGTTATCTAAAGATGTATTATCTACGATATAAGCGTCCTTTTATGAACTATAAATCTCTCCGATAGTATATCTCCTTATTATTAAACTATTATAGATGTGAACATTATCCTTATAAACTTGATTTTACATTATCTATAGCCCTAGAGAAGTATTAAGAAAACTCTTATAAGCTTTATAAACCTTACAATAGGTCCTTTAGTACTCCAGAAAGCCTTAAATAGTATAATATAGCTATATATAATCTCTATAAGGACTATAGTAATTTTTTTAATACTAAATATAATCTCTAAAATATTTATAATCCTATAAATACTAGGGTTTATAGATTATATATTAACTTCTATATAGTATTAGAGGATATATACCATAAAACTTATTCTATACCTAGGATGCTTAAGAAGCTTTAATAAGGAGTTAGTAATAGTATTACACCTTAAGGCTAGAATATACTTATCTAGTATAACTACTAATATCATTGATAATCTTGCCTACTAGTGTTATTAGTCTAGCTACTATATTTTAAATAATAGGGAATATAACTTTAGCTATCCTAACTATAAAACCCTTTTCATCTAGATAAGTAGGCTTCTATAGTATATAGAAAGTAATACTTATAAGGTTAGTCTTAGTAAGGACTTACTATTAGGTAAGTTTATATATTTCCTATAGCTCTGTATTTAATCTTAAAAGGTTCACTATAAGTATACTAGAGTAATTATAGTTAAGTGCGATCTTTTAGTATCGAAGGTTATAGTAATATATAACTATAAGCCAGATATATATCTAGCCTACACACAAGGATAAGGAATAAAATCCTAAGGAAGATAGTTAGATAGGTAATAGTATATTATTTTATAGTAAGTCCTATATTCATTAGTCTAGAGAGCTTAAAAATACCTCTAGAATAGAATTAATCTAATTACTATCTATATTTCTCTACTAGTATATAATAGCCTTAGTATAATTCTACTAGGATATTAATAAGCTTTTACTATTTAATAGTATCTCGCTTTATACAGCCGCCTGTATTCTACCTAAAATAATATCTGTAGAGTAATGCTATATTACTCCTGTATATAACTTCTAAAGTAGTCTAAATGTTTAAAGTTAATATCTCTATACTTTAGGTACTTACACTTAATTACTTGCCCCTATTTCTTAGCTTGCTCCTATCTAGCTAGATAATAGTTATTGAAATGATTGTTTATGATAGTCAGATAGTAATATATAAAGGTACACTCTTCATAAGAGAGTCGCTTATTACTAATATAATTAGGATACTACGTAGCACCTAGGAGAAGGGGGAATAGATTAGGACTAGGCGTAACTTCGCCATATACACTAGGCGACTTAGCTTTAATAGGTGGTTTAGGGCTAACCCTTAACCAAACACGATCTTATTTAATTATCTCTCTCTTATCGTAGAGCGCTACTATTAAATTAATAGCCTTAATCCTATACTAAAGGATCTAATCTTTATTTAGGTTATCTAGCTAGTAGTAGAGAATCTCTACTAGCTGAGCCTATATTAGTATAATAACGTTGATAACTAGCTCCATATACTCCTCTTCCTCTTCCCCCTATGCTTATATCTTAATATCCTAAGTAAGCTAGTAATAGAAGTAATACTTATAGAATACTTTAACGACCGCCTTTTAACGCTGTGTACACTTTAAGTGGATTTTATTTATAAGCTTGCGGATCTTCTTCTTGTCCTAATAGCCCTTAATCTGGTAGTTCCCCTATCTAAGTGTAGCATATTACTATTTAAGCTTTTAGATATTTAGATCTAGTGCTAAACCCACCTATACTTCCTTAGGTACTATATTAGAAGTCGCTTAAGGGTTATGTGTAAGGCTAATGTATGTGAACAGCTGGAATAACTATATCTCCTTCTCTTCCTTAAGGAACGCATTCTGGATATTAAAGTTAGCGATCTCATTAAGATAAGTGTGGTGGAATGTCATAAATTGAGGGTTATGGTGTATTATTTGGTCACAGATAGTGTCTAGTGTATCTCCTAGAATAACAAGTCTAGTTAGCACTGTCTATAAGCTCTAGCTACTTATCCTAGGTAGGCAACAAGTATGATATATACTATTAGCTGTATTAGTAGCACCCCTCTGAGTAAACCTGGGTGTCTACCTTCTCTTGTGCCCTGAATTAAGACTTTATTAGCTGATATTATCTCTAAGCTTTAAATATAATATAGTATTAGTGTGAGAGAGCGTGGCGCTATAGTACTAACGGAATATAGGAGTCTTTAGCTTAAAAGCCTTCTATTAGAGTGGAGTATATTCCTTAAACTACAGTAGCTTTAACCTAAAGATACTCTTTATATCTATTAAGCTTGCTATATTAAAGGCATTATTATATAGAGCAAGGGTAATAATAGTAGAGATAGTATAGAAGAGAATCTTTCTAGTAGGGGTAAAGTAGAAGATTATCTTAATAAAGCTATTAGTATATATAAGGCTTAACTATTTAGGCTAAAGGACGGAAAGACGTATAGCTTGGGTTTCTTATTAGCCCCTTTGTGATAAATAAACTTAATGGCTATAGTAGGTATACACCATCCGGTGATCAGGTACCATACGATCAGCATCTGAATATCTTTATAGTAGAGAGCCTTTAGACGCCCACACCCTATAGTCTCCTGAGAGAGAAGACTCTTAAGTTTCAAGTCTTTATCTAGGAGAGGGCTATTATCTTCATTGATATCGTTGGCATCGGAAGGGAGCGACTAGATAAACTAGCTCCTAAAGAGCTTTTTGATAGACCTATCTTTAGGTTTCTTCCACTTGCTATCTATAAGCTTAGCAGGTTATGCGCCAGTATAGTATAGTAGCTAATAATAGGTAGCTAGGTGGATGTGGTGCCGCTCACTGGGGAAAATGCTTATATTATACGCGATGTTAAACGTTAAAATAATGCGTAGGTTATCCACATTAAGGACCAGCTTACCGTCGATATTGGGCGCTCGGTGGCTGAAATAAGGAGCTAAGACTTGGCGATAGTACTAGCTATCGATTAGTAGAGCTTATACAGTGTATAGAATAGCAGCTAGCTGCGCCTATATAATGAGAAGGAGTCTACCTACCTTATATACTTCCTTAGCGTTATTCCGGTCCATGTACTAGCCAGTGACCGTTATGTATAGCTGCTGAAACTAATGAATATACTCCTTGCTGGTGCCCTATAATATGATTTTAGATCTTTCATAGATGTATAGGAAGAAGTCTTATGTTATTTTGAGCTTGAGATTCTGGATAGTTGTCTTCCAGTCCCTAATTTTTATATCGGTATAGTAACTGTGTTAGTTATATTAGAAAAGCAGAAGCCGATGAGGTAGATTTGATAGAGTATTTCCATATACTATGACTATTTATTAAATATCCCGCTCATATTAATTTCGGTTTCAGCAGAGTATTTAGGCTTAATAAAATACACTTTACCTAATTATATATAATGAATAGTATACTATTTAATTGAGAGTATAGGCTTATCGTTCGTAGCTCGTTTCTCTGCCTCGCAGGCGGTGAAGCTTTAAAGAAAGGTCGTGTAATCATGCGGGCCATTCACAGCTACTATTAAGGGCGCAGTAGTTAAGTTCACTGCTATTTAATTAAGGCGGTTAGTAGATAAAAGATAAAGATAGCTGTGTCTAGGAGGAAGGGAAGAAGGGAGAGACGTAGGGCATTATTAGTATATATAGCCAAAGTAGCCCACTGCCACCAACAGTCACGGGAAGGGACAGGCCCATTAAAGAGTTACAAAGAGATAAGAAACGGGATACAGGTTCAACGCATATTTTAGTCAGGGGGTAGACGGATAAAAGACATCAGCGCCCCTAGGCCGTGCTTGGCACGTGCTATTTATTAAAGCAGGGGCTTACTAGGCACCGACAAGAAGTACAGAGTACCTTTCACTTAACCCAATCCTCGAGTGTCTCCACACTATAAGTGCCAGCTAAAATAGCGGCAAAAACCACTAGATTTAGCAGTGCCAGCAGCGCTTTCTCTGTTTAATAAGTAAAATAATTATATATATATATATATATTTTTTTTATTATTATCTTTTATTTCTCTTCTTATAAAATTAATATAATTAAAAGAGTATATTTTTAAATAAATCTTAATTAAACTTAGCTAAAGTATTAGCCTTAAAGTCTCTTAATTAAGCTTAATTAAAATATAGATTAATTACCTTTAAAGGTTAATTTCTACTGTTTTTAATTAAGCTTAATTAAAATACTCTTTTATTTTTATCTTTTAATTTAAATACTTAAAATAACCTTAGAATTAAAGTTAAATAAATCTTATATTACTTTATATATTTATATATTATAATCTATCTCCTTATATATACTATATTATTAAGTATATTATTCTTTTTAAAGCTTTTAACTTTACTTTATATAATCTTTCTTTTATATTTATATTTTAATATTCTTTTTATATTATATAATATATAACTATATAAATTACTAAGTATTAGGAATTAATTAAGCTATATATTAATAATAAAGATTTTATTATAATAAATATTATATTATAATAAATATTATATTATACTTATAAATATAATTAATTAATTTAACCTTATAAATCTAACTTTTCTAATAAATATTATAAACCTTAAATATAATAACCTTTTTTAAAAGCTTTTCTATTATATTATATTAAGTAAACTTAAATCTAAATTAATTTATTAAATTAAAACTTAAATAAAAACTACCTTTACTTAAATTAATTTAATATAGTATATAATATATTAAAACTAATAATTAAATACTAAGTTATAATAAGTATATATAATAAAGTAGTTATTACTAAGGCTAAGCTTATTAAGGTCTTTTATATCTCTAAAGAGTATTTTATCTATTTAATTATTATAATATAGAGATAAACCTAATAAATATAGTTATTAAATTTACTTTATTATTAATAGCTTTATTATTATAAGAAGCTCTTTAATTAAATATAAGCTTAAGGATTTTATATATATTAAGTATAGCTCTCTTAAGTATAATAGTTAGTTAACTTATACTAGATAAAGTCTAAGGTAAGTTAAGGTTAAACTAATTAAAGTATTATTCTAAGTAATATAATTAGGTTATTTAGTATTATATAAATTATTATTAATATATAAGTATTAAGGAGCTAGTTTTAATAAAAGTAGTAATAATTATATTAATAACTATTTAAAAGAGTATCTTTATTTAAGAAATAAATATATATATATACTAAGGTTATTACTATTTTATTATTAAGCTATTACTCTACTTAAGTAATAGGTTAATTTTATTAATCCTTAAGTAGAGCTTATTAATCTACTTTATATATAACTTCCTATAGCTTAATAAAAGCCTTTATTTATAATATAATACCCCCTCCTTATTAATCTTATCCTTAAAGCTAGCTTATTATACTTTATTAATCTTAGTATATACTTAGCTTTATATTTATTTATATTATATATATATTAATAAGATATCTAGCTATATCCTAAAATAAAAGAAATCTAATTTAGTATATAAATATACTTAGAAATCTAAATATATTCTTACTTATAGATTTAAGGTTATATCTTATATTAAGTATATAGAAAAGGATATAAGTTATTTTATTATCTTAAGTTTAAATTATTATACTATATATATTTATATTAATTACTTATATAATAATATTTATTTCTTAATATCTTTAAGTATATTACTTCCTTTCCTTAGCTTTCCTTATATATATTAACTTATTTATAATTAAAAAGATTAATAAGGAGCTATTATACTTAGAGGATAAGGAGTTAAAAGCTAAAGTAGAGTTAGCTATAATATTTATATAAATTTTATATTTATAGAAGATATAAAAATAACTTTATAAAAAGGGTATAAAGATATTAAAAAAAAGGCTAAATAATATAAAGGAATTAGAAGAAAAGGAGTAAAAGGAAGTAAAAAAGAAAAGTTATTAAGAAGAATTAAAGTAAGTATAAGCTTAAGAAGTTAAGCTTATATTTTAAGTTTAAATATTATATATTATATAAATTATTAATTTTCTAGCTTTACCTTTAATCCTTCTATAAAGGATCTCTTTAGTAATATTACTTAAGGTAAAGTTATTAATCCTTCTTCTTTTAGTAAAATTAATATATTAAATATTAATAATTCTTTAAATATTTAATAAGTTCTTATATATTATTATTTTTATTATAGCCTTTTTACTTTATTAAATAAAATATTTATTTATTCCTAACTTCTTTTTTTAAGATTTTCTTTAATTTAAATTCTTCTTTATAGACTTTAATTAAGTAATTTTAATTTAATATATTTTCTAATACTTTTTTAAGTAATAAGATATAAAAAACTAAATAGATATATATAATATTTAGTAATAATAGTTTATAATTAATATTTAATTTCTTTTTTATAATCTTAAATAGTTTAAGTTTTTTATAATTTAACTTATTACTTAGCTTTATTATTATAATATTTTTTTAAAGTAAATAGACCTTATCTCCCTCCTTTAAGATTAATCCCTTTAATCTTATTTTATTATAATATTTTTTTATTCTTTATTATATAAACTTTAGTTTAGCTTATATTTCTATATATAATAAGTATAGTATTTCCTTTATAAGTATAATAATAAGTATTATTAATTTATTAAATTCTAGTTTATTTAAGAACTTTAGTTTATAATTATAATTTATATATATTAATAATAATTAAGTTAATTCTTATATTATACTATTATATATAATCTATATTATAAATAATAATTATATTTAATTATTTTATTTATAATTAATATATATTATAAGTATTATTTTAATATTTAATTTAAATATTTTATTTATTTATTATTTTATAAATAATAAGCTATTAAAAGCTTATACTTTATATCTATTTATATTATAAATAATTATTAAAACTTAAAGGTAAATATTATTCCTTTATTTAATATTATCTTATTAAGTAGTTTATAATTTATAATTATATATTATAGGACTTAATATATAAAATCTTCTATAAAGCTTACTTCCTTATATAGTATAAAGTATTTATACTTTATAAATTTATTAATAACTATTAGAATATTATTATATTCTACTTTAATTATTAATTCTTTAAATAATAGTAATTTAATAATATAATTAAAGGATATTAATTATTATAATTATTTTAATATTAAGATTAGTTTAAGTTCTCTATATAGTTTATATTATATTAACTTAATTTATATATAAATATTATATTCTAAAACTATAGTTTATACTTCCTTTTATAAACTAAAGTAATTATAATATTATTTTATTTTATTAAAGGTTTTCTTAATTTCTTAATATTCTATAAGTAGGTATTTATAGATTTCTTTAATAAGTATTATTTTTACTTTCTACTATAGTTTCTTTAAACTTAAAATAATATTTATTTAGACTTTAATATATATTATCTCCTTAAATATAGCTTTTAAGATTATTTATACTAAGTATTTATTATTATTAATTAAGAATAATTATTTATTTATTTTTAGAACTATTTATTTATACTTAGGTTTCTAGCTAAAAGTATTAGCTTTTTTATTTTTTAATCCCTTTTAATATATAATTTTATAATTAAATTTTAATAAATATTTAATATAATATATTTATCTCTTATTAAGTTATTATATTATAGTAAAATACTAAATATTCTTATAATTTATATAGATCTTTACTTTATATTATATTCTTAAATAATAGTATTTAAATTCCCTAAATATATATATAATAACTATAAACTCCTTATTATAAATAAGGTAATTAAGTTCTACCCTATATAGTTTCTTTAAAAAGAATACTATAAGGTATAATACTTTATTATTATCTTTTAGCTAAGTTATATATTAATTATAAAGTCTAATATATTAATCTTAAGTTTTACTTCCTTTATTAAGTTAAATATTTATAGTATTAATTCTAAGAGGATTTAATTCTTTATTTTATTAAATACTTTTATTATTTTTATATTTAATAGAATTTTACTCTCTTCTTTATAATATTATATAAAGGTATAATAATTTTTCTATAATCCTTAATAAATTATTAATAATAATTAGTAAATCTAAAGAAGGCTTATACTTCCTTAATAATATTTAGTTTTTCCTATTCTTAATTATAATAATCTTATCTTATTTTATTTATATTTTATTTAATTAAATAGTATATTTTAAGAAGTTAACTTTTTATATATAGAAATAGCTTTTCTTAAATTTATAAAAAATTAACTTT